GCACAAACAATGAATCATGGAACACTACATCAAAAACTAATGATGTAATGTATGGTGATTAACATAACAATAAAAAATTATTTAAAGACAGACAAAAAAAAAACATGCAATGTTGCACTAATGAGCTTGGCTCCTAATGCAGTAGTAAAATATTCCTTATTAGCACAAAATATGACACACAGGGTGAAAAACATGGGTAATAAGGAATGAACTGGGTTGTGGACAAAGTACAATCTAGGCCTCAATTTTCACGCCTACAAATCAGATGAGAAACAGTAGGTTCATAACTTGACTGTTTCATCAGAATCTCCTGAGGATATTCCATAAGTCTAGATTCTCAGTCCACTCCCAGATTTATTATGTCTAGGGGTAAGGCCTGAGAATCTTCATGTTTAAAACACAGCCCCCACACACACTGTCGGTGGGAATATAACTGGTGCAGCCACTCTGGAAAACAGTATGGAGGTTACTCAAAAAGTGAAAAATAGAACTACCTTACAACCCAGCAATTGCATTACTAGGTATTTACCCAAAGGATACAAAAATGCAGATTCTAAGGGCACATGCACCCTGATGTTTATAGCAATGTTATCAACAATAGCCAGACTATGGAAAGAGCCCAAGTGTCGTCCATCAGTTGATGAATGGATAAAGAAGATGTGGTACACACACACAGACACACACACACACACACACGGGAACATTACTCAGCCATCAAAAAGAATGAAATCTTGCCATTTGCAATGACATGGATGGAGGTAGAGTGTATTATGCTAAGCAAAGTAAGTCAGAGAAAGACAAATACCATATGATTTCACTCATGTGTGGAATTTAGGAAAGAAAACAGATGAACATATGGGAAAGGGGGAAAAAAGAGGGAAGCAAACCATAAGAGACTCTTAATGATAGAGAACAAACTGAGGGTTGATGGAGGGAGGTGGGTGGGGGATGGGTTAAATGGGTGATGGGCACTAAGGAGGGCATTTGTTGTGATGAGCACTGGGTGTCACAGGTAACTGATGAACCAGTGAATTCTACTCCTGAAACCAATATTGAACTATATGTTAACTAATTAGAGTTTAAATAAAAATTTGGAAAAAAAACCACTGCCCCAATGAAACATTTTTCTTTTCATACTATAAATATCATGTGCTTGTAAAAGCAAAGCAGGTCAGTTTGGGTCTAGTAAAAATGGAGTAAATACATTCTATACTATCTCCCCAACAGATTATAACTAAGAACACTGCACAAAATGCTATAAAAGGAAAAGAGCAGTTTTGTGGCTGCGCGGGCTTCCCATCCCTCACACCAGCGGCTCACTCCGCATTTTACCATGCCTTTCACCTGAGACCCCTTCCAGCACCCTACGTTGGATAACGATGATACCTTCCTGGGAAAACTCCGGGCTTCCAGAAACTGCCATGTAAGAACCCAGCTTACCTTGCTCAGCAACAGGAACCCTGGAGTCGGCTCAGCTCAACTCCCATGATCACCTCCATGAGGCGGGATGTTTATTTTTTTGATCCTGAGATACCAAAGGATGACCTGGATTTCTGCTTAGCAGCCTTGTACAACCACCACACAGGGACATTCAAGAACAAAAGTGAGATACTCTTACACCAGGAGACCACCCAGGATACCCATGGAATCATCAAGACCCAATTCCCTGGAGAACTTTTACCCCCTCCTCTGCCACCTTCCATCACTTCCCTAGCTAACATCAGACACTGGATCAACCCTAAGAAGGAGTCTATCCACAGCATTCAGGGATCCATAGTGTCCCCTCACACTGCAGCCACCAATGGAGGCTACTCCCGAAAGAATGATGGTGGCTTCTTCTCTACCTAATGTTGACAGGTCCCTGGACTAAGTTAATCATAGTGGAACATCCTGCTGCCCACCTCTATTAAATAGAATTGTGCTGGAAAAAAAAAAGAATAAGAGCAGGTGGATAGATATAGAATTCAATACTCAAAGGACAACCCAGCAATGAATTGCCTGGGCTTTTTGCCCCCTGTCTTTTACATCCTGGCTTAAGCTCTGTGGCAACCCCAAACCAAAACAACTAACAGGCACAGATAAAGTCAGATCCAATCGCTTTCTCTGGCTAGAGAAGCAGGAGTGGGGGACAAACCTCTCTTGACTCAACAACATGAGCAACAAAATAAGAGTCCCCTGCTCCTAGCAAGATGGAGATTGTCCCAAGCTATTTTGAGTGCCAGCAAAGAAAAGGCAGCCCCTTCCTCCACTGGTATAACAGAGGCTGCTCCTGTGGAGTGGAAGACTCTTTTTTATATTTTCCCTGCACTACACTGAACAAAAGTGGTGGTAATGGGAGCAGCAGTGGCAGCCCCACAGGCTCTCTTCTTTCACTGCTTTGCCCTAAGTTAGGCCCGGTCACAAGGAGTGCATGAAAAAGCAGAGACATTAAAGCTCTGGCTTTCTAGCCAAACTACTAGAAGAAGAAAAAAAAAAAAAAACCACCCTAGGAATCAGAGAGAACTATTGAGATGATGAAGCTATCAATAGGGATTTTTAAATCTCTATATGAAGTACTACCTCAGTCCCAAACTGCTCATGTGTGTGAAACCAGCTGTAATGAACACAGCAAAGATGTACCAAAAAAATACAAACTGGAAGGGCACTGCAATGGCTCTGAAAACTGAAGTGACGTCGGATCTGTAGCCCACAGAAGCTGGTTTAGGACTTGCAGTCTGGATGGAATTGCATTGAATGCCTGGTGAAACAAAATTTTAAAAATAACATTCTTTGGAAGATTTTTATAAGAATCGGAGTCTCATGATATATAGTATTCAAAATGCCCAAATACAATCCAAAATTCCTCAACATGCAAAGATTCAGACAAATTTGAATAATTGTCAAGGGAAAAGGCAATCAACAGATGCCAACCTTGAGATAACCAAATGTTGTAATTACCAGATGAGATTTTAGAGCAGCTATTATGATCATGCTATAAGAAGTAAGGGTGAACAATTTTGAAAGAAATGCAAGGATATAAGTGTTCATCTGAGAAATAGAACCTATAAAAATGAACCAAATGGCATCCTAAAACTGAAAGCTACAATAACAGAAATTTAAAAATTGAAAGGCCTTAACAGAATGGTGATGAAAGAGGAAAGAATTAGTAAATTTGATGATACATCACTAGAAATAATGCAATCTGAAAAATTGAGCTTAAAAAAAAACTAGAGACTTCGAGGCCTATGGAACAATATCAAAAGGTCTAACATTCATATCATGAAATTTTCAAAAAGAGAGGAGAAAAAAATTGAATAAATAATGACTGAAACTCTCTAAGTTTTGTGGAAAACAAACTTTATAAATCTAAGAAGCTCAGTGAACCCCAGAGAATAAACTGAAAGAAAACCATGCCTATACACATCATAAACAAACTGCTGGAAATGAAAGATTAAGATAAAATCTGCAAAGCATCCACAGAAAAACAACATATTACATGTAGAGAACAAAGATCCAAACGAGTACAGATTTTTTCCATCAGAAACCATGGAGACCAAAAGAGTGGAACAATATTTTTAAAGTGCTAAAAGAAAAGACCTGCCTGTCAACCCAGAATACTATATCCTGTGAAAATATCCTTCAGGAATAAAGGGAAAATAAAGATGTTCTCAAAAAAAAATCTAAGAGAATTCATCACTAATAGACTTGCTTTAAAGAAATTCTTCAAGTAGAAAGGAAATACTGACTAAAAGAAACCTGGAAAATCAATAGCGATTGAATAGCAACAAAAATGGTAAATATCTGCCTAAATAAAATGGATCATTTTTTCTGTCTTTAACTTAGTGTAACAATATAATATTTGTCAGAAGCAAAAATCATAATGCTGTCTGATGAAATTTTCAATATAGATAGACATAATACATATGAAAACTTTATAAAGGGGAAAGACTAAAATTACTATATACTCACAAGTTTTCTTTGTTTTTTGTGACATGGTAAGATATTAATGCTAATTAGATTGTGTAAAGTTGGTTGTATATATGGTATTCCCTTCAGCAATTACCAAAAAAAAAACAATTCAAAGAGATACAGTCAAAAACCCAGTAGAGATTTAAATGGAATTCTAAAAAGCACTTGAATAACTCAAAGAAGAGAAGTAAGGGAAAACAGAGGAATGAAACACATGGGGGCGGGGAGAAACACATAAGAGAAAAGCAGAAACTAATAATAAAATGCTACAGCACAGTACAACAATATCAGTAATTACATTAAATGTAAATGGTTTAAACAAACCAATTAAAAGTCAGCGATATTTAGATTGGATTTAAAAACAACACACACACACACAAAGACACAACTATGTGTTGTCTATAAGAAACCTACTTGAAACACAATGATAGAAGTAAGTTAAAAATGAAAGGATAGAAAAGGATATAACATGCAAATACCAACCAAAAGGAAAAAAGCTGGAGCGGGCATGTTAATATTAGACAAAATACACTTCAGAACAAGGAAAATAACCAGGGACAAAGAAGAACACTACATAATGATTCATCAAGAAGACATAAAAACTCTGAATGTGTATGCAACTGCCAACAGAGCTTCAAAATAAATGAAGGAAAAACTGACAGAACTGAAAAGAGAAACAAATTCACAACAATATCTGTGCATTTCAACATTCCTCTCTAAGCAATTGATAGAATGAGAAGCCATAAAATCAGCAAAGATATTAAAGGATAAACAACATCATCAACTAACTGGATCAAATTGACATTTATACAACCTTCCCCCCAACAAGAGAATATATACTCTTTTTTTTTTAATAATTTTTTATTGTTATGTTAATCACCATACATTACATCATTAGTTTTTGATGCAGTGTTCCAT